GCAATATTGTAACACAGCAGTCCCCAACATTTTTGGCACCAGGGACCAGTTTCGTGGAAGACAGTTTTTCCACGGACCGGGGCCGGGTTGGGGGGCGGGGGGGGGGGGGGGGGGAGGGGGGGGGGGGGGTTTGGGGGATATTAAAACCATATACTTTTTGTGCATTTTATTTCTATTATTATTACATTGTAATACTCAATGAAATAATTATACAACTCCCTATAATGCAGAATCAGTGGGAGTCCTGAGACCCCTCTGCTAATGAGAATCTCTATTTGCAGCCTCTCCCCAGCGCTAGCATCACCACCTCAGCTCTACCTCAGACCATCAGGCATTAGATTCTCGTAAGGAGTGTGCAACCTAGATCCCTCACACGTGCAGTTCACAGAAGGCTTCGCGCTCCTATGAGAATCTAATGCCGACGCTGATTTGACAGGAGGCGGAGCTCAGGCGGTAACGCGAGCGATGGGAAGCGGATGTAAACACAGATGAAGCTTCGCTCACTCGCCCACCACTCACCTCCTGCTATGTGGCCCGGTTCCCAACAGGCCACAAACCGGTACCAGTCCATGGTCCGGGGGTTGGGGACCCCTGTTGTAACAAATTCAATAAAGACTTCAAAAATAGTCCACACCAAAAAAATCTTAAAAAAAAAAAAAAAAAGGAAGCAAATCCTGCTACAACGTGGGTGAATCTTGAGGACTTTATGCTTCATGGAATTAAGCCAATCACAAAAATACAAATATCATACTCGTATTCATAGAGATAGGAAGCAGAATGGCAGATGCCAGGGCCTGGGGTGGGGGTGAGGAGTTGTTTTATGTTGGGGACAGTTCAGCTTTGCAACGTGAAAAGAGTTCTGGGGGCTGTGGCTGCAGGACAAGTGAATGTACTTAACAGGAATGAACTTAAAAATGCACTTAAAAATGGTTAAGATTGGGCTTCCCTGGTGGCGCAGTGGTTGAGAGTTCGCCTGCCGATGCCGGGGACACGGGTTCATGCCCCAGTCTGGGAAAATCCCACGTGCCGCGGAGCGGCTGGGACCGTGAGCCATGGCCGCTGAGCCTGCGCGTCCGGAGCCTGCGCTCC